GTTCGAATCCCGCGGGCGGGATCGTGGATGCGCACTGCTGAGGCGTTCCGTACTAGGGCGAAACGGCCGTCCAGTACTCCCAGGTCTTCGATAATAGTCTAACATCAATTGATTCATGATCTTAATCAAAAACTGAATACAGTGTGTCCTTTTTTTTATTAATTGTGGTAATTTTCAATTGAATGTTAAATAATCGTAATATTTACCATTGAGTTTGTTTGGGTATAATGCGAAATTAGTTTAGTTGAGTATAGTTTAACTGATACTGTCGCGTGTTGCTCAAACCATAGTAATTAGAACTGATACTGACCGTTATCATGTGCTCAAAGTTCTGGTGAGAAGCCATAACCAGTGGATGTGAAGCAATTCTGAGGAATTCTATGTTAGGACGAAACAACTGTACAGTGCTTATAGGTTTTCATGGATGGTCTAAAATGGAGGGTTTCGTACTTTCATGGAAATTCAACATTCTTCAAATATCTAAACTGATACTTAGACAGTAGTTTCTACCATAGTTGAAGGTAAATTAGGATCTGGTATGCACCTCTATTAGTTCGGCTTGACATACATTAGTACTTACTTGCACCTGTCAACACATTGGGGAGGATCATAGGTGGCACACCAGCATTCTCTATTGAACTGTATCCTGGACAATCCTTTTCAGCTGTTCCCACTTGCTATTCATTGTTTTGATAACTGCTTTCGATTGCCGACGCATTGTGTTCTTCGATATTCCACTTTTCCGTTTCCCTTCAGGATTCCAAGTTAACACTTGCCTCGTGATGCAGTTTCATGATTTCCCCAATGTATGTCCTATCCACTTCCAGAGTCTTTCCTTAATTTCTTCTTTATCTGGAAGTTCATTTATCTTTTCCATAGTAGGTTGTTGTTGATGATAACCGGTAAACGGATGTGGAGCATCTTTTGTAGACAATTGTTTATAAATACTTGTACTTCGATGATGATGGTTGTAGTAGTTCTTCGAGTTTCAACTTCATACAGTAGCACTATCCTGATGTTCGTATTGAAGATTGTGACTTAGGTATTGGTTGACAGTTGTTTTGAATTCCGCATGCTTTCCAACTCTAGGAATGCTATCCTTGCTTTGCCAATCCGTTCCTTTACTTGTGCATCAGATCCTCATTGTTGATCGATAATACTGTCCAGGTACGTGAAAGTTTCCACTTCTTCCAGAGTTTCTCCATCAATATGACTGAGTTGGTGTTCTCTGTGTTGTATTTAAGGATCTTGGTTTTCCCCTTGTGTATTTTGAGGCTTACTGATGTAGCGGCTTTTGCTACATTAGTTGTTTTGATATGTGTTTTTTTGTGTGTATGGTTTTGAAGAACTAGGTTATCTGAGAAGTTCAAACCGCCTAGTTGTATCCATGTTGTCCGTTGTATTCCATTCTCTACCTCAGATGTGGTGATCTTCACAATCAAGTCGATCACCAGAACAAGGAAAAAGGGTCAAAGTAAGCGGTCTTGTTTGACATCGGTCTTCACTTGGAATGCATCTCACCAATGCTTAAGAGAAACAAAAATGTTCACATTTTGTCATTATTTTTAACCAACAGAGTGTATTCATCTATATAAAGCATATATTTGTATTTCAATGTACTTTTGTTCTCTGAGCTAGATGATTCGGTCGTAGAGCTTTCATCGTTCTTCTAGAAGTTTATGTTGATGACATTGTTCAGAAGAACAGTGAAAGCTACATTACAAAACAAATCTAGCTCAGAGAACAAAACTCCATCAAAACCATTTATCCACCTGAGCTACATATCTTCTCCACCATCTCGAAAGTATATATCTGTCAGTCAGCTACAACGTAGAACCAGGCACATATATGCATCGGTCCAAGTTGCCATACCGCATTAGCACAACAAGATGAACACCGGATTCATAGAAGTAGTCACATCAAAGGTAGTAGTATATAAAAGAAAGATTGTGTATAAGGATATAATACAGGAAGAAAGAATTAGTTCGTAGAAAGAAAGATATGAAGCGATTTTAATCTCATCGTTTAAAGGAAGACAGAGAGTGTATACACCGAAGCCATTGTGATCGATTGTGAGTCATGTCACTAAGAATCTCCAACCATTGGTTACGATAATCACGCGGATCCCAACCAAGTAGTCTGCATCTACCAACATGGTTCAGACTAATTGTTAGTGACTTCAAGCACTGAAGCCACATTTTCGTTTGGTTGTCTCTAACTTTCTTCCAACCATCTCTAACACTAAAAGCACATATCTGTAACTGAACGGTTCAAAAATGAAACTATTAAAGCATAATAACAATATGTTCAATGGTTGAAATCTTGTCACAATTCTATTATTTAAATCTAAATAATAATTCATATATTTCGCTGGTTGAAATTATGAATCCATTGAAGCTAGACCACCATGGAAAACCTGGAAGCACTAGACGGCCGTTTCGTCCTAGTATGGAACTCCTCAACAGTGCGCATCCACGATATCGCTCTTCGCTCCTTGCTCACTAGTGACTGACTTCAAGAGGTATTTCTTGCAGTTCTAGTGAGAAGCAGTGACCAGTTGAGTTCAATCAGATCTGTTGTGAGATAGTAACTCAATGAACACAATGGTGTATGTGTCGCTCAATTTGGTGGATTGTTCGAAGTTAGACATTAACACCGCTAGATACCGGCCGGCTCAGTGGTCTAGTTGGTTAAACGACTGGCGCGAGACTGATAGGTTCTGGGTTCGAATCTCGCGAGGAGCGAGATCGTGGATGCGCACTGTTGAGGAGTCCCATGCTAGGACGAAACGGCCGTCCAGTGTTTCCAGGTTTTCCAATGGTGGTCTAACTTCAATGGATTCATGATTTCAACCAGTGAAATTTCTAAAATCTCCACACAATCCCTTCTAATAATTCATGATATGATATTCTATATATAATATAACTTTACTATGTATTTCATTGACGATTATGATTGACATGATCATCTTAACAATAATACATGGACTTCTGATATTCATTTGTCGGATTTATACTACTTATATGCTAAGTTGTATATGTGTAGTATATCAAATGTAAATAATTATTTATTATATATATAAATCTATATAATTGGGTTAATTAGAATAGTATTATATCATATCTACGGTTTCATTTCATTGTTATGTCTCATTCATTCATTCATTCATTAATTCATAACAAGAATAATCTAATAATTAAAGATAGGGTATTATTAAGATTGTGTTTTTAAGGGGAGAGATTTATTGAATGATTACATATTCAATGGAATCCAAGATACACGTTTCGTCCTATTTAAGACTGGTTTGTATCTAAGAGTTGAGATTCTTTTTGGGATGTATATATGCCAATAAGAGATTGGGAAGATTCAAATAAACAATACAAGATGAATAAAAACGTCATCTCAATGTACAAGCTGGTGAATAACTGAATTCAGTAGCTAAGTGAATAACGTGGTGGCGTTTGAAACGAATGGTACTGAGTTCGACTCCCAAAGTGAATGTCAACTCTGAAATGCAGACAAATCTAACTGACGAGTCTAAACAGGACGAAACCTGCATCTTAAATTCCACTACTAGCCACCATTCATCTTTGCTTTATATCAGAAGGGGTTTTTGTGGATATTATAGTAAATTTAATAGTTAAGATCACGAGTCAATTGAAGTTAGACAAACATGGAGAACCTGGAAGCACTGGACGACCGTTTTGTCTTATTATGGGACTCCTCAGCAGTGTACATCCACGATCCCGTCTCGTGAGATTCGAATCCTGGACCTATCAGTACCATAGAAAACTTGGAAACACTCAACGATCGTTTCGTACAAGTACATGATTCCTCAACAGTGCGTGTATATATTCTCACACCAAGAGGACTCGAGCCTACCAACTTCAATCTCACACGCGAACGCTGAACCAATGAACTAGCATCCAATGGTGTTAATGTCTAACTTCAACCAATCCACCAAATTGAGCGACACATACACCATTGTGTTCATTGAGTTACTATCTCACAACAGATCTGATTGAACTCCACTGGTCACTGCTTTTCACTAGAACTGCATGAAATACCTCTTGAAGTCAGTCACTAGTGAGGTTATGTTGATTAATATCAGAAGGTGGATATCATAGTAATTTTAATAGTTAAGATTATGAATCAATTATACTTAAAGAATTAAAAAGATATTGTACTCACGATCAAATACACATAAGACTGAATTAATATTTCTTTATGAAATAGATTAAACTATTAGAGTTGGTATTTAATAAACCCTTAGATTTTCCAAATTGAGTCAATTCTGAGTGTAGAATAACTATGGTTTAATCAATATAATCAACATAGAGTCTCGTATAAACGTGCGTTCATCTAATCGACTGTACAATATCAACACGAGGTCAGAATATTAATATTGCTTGATCGATAGAATTTGATCAGAACTTACAGGACTAGACAGTTATTATTAACGGTCCTTATATGACTCGATCTGGTAAGTGGTCAATCTCTATCTGAATACCTTAGCAGTAATATGTCACACTATGATACCGGCTGACCCGAGTTCGTATTCTACAGGGAGTATCCTTGAGCTTTTGGGTACGTTTTTTTTGAAAAGCTTCAAGTATAACGTCACCTCTGTCAATCAGGGTTTCCTATTGAAGACTTTCAACTACCGAGTTTAGATTCTCTCAATCCTTATGTGATCTAATATATATGTGATTCCATAAAAAGAACATTTTTCACTATATATATATGTCTACAGTAATGCATAACACGGTTTAAAATCTGTAAAGAGACATTAGTTCCGTCAAGTTTACATAATACTACTAACTAGCATAAAGTCATAAATCAAAAGTATTCCTGCAGAATATATCTATTTGTGTAGCTGGGAGTACAATTACTGAGATTAACCGACTAAGTGTCTGTAATTATGATATATTCTAATCAAATCTAATCTCGTTCTATGTCAAGACTCATCTTTGATTTCTTGTTCTTATTTTTGTAAATAGCTATTTGCGCAACATATTCGTCGTAATGTTCTACGTGTTTTCAGTGATGCATCAAATTCTGTTATAAGTCAACAATTAGGAGATTTATGGCGTACTGTTCCAAGAAGTTGCCGTAATCAATACGATGATGAAGCGAATAGATTAGTGAAAATACATCAAATTGAATTTCCTAATTATAAATATCAACCTAAAAAACGACAAATCACATCATCGTCATCATCATCATCATCATCATCAACAACAACAACAACTGCTACCACAACCACTGCAAATATATCAAGGAGTAGTAATGATCAAATGCGTATGTTTAATTCAAATCCAAATCATGTCCACAACATTACACACACTCCTATTCAATCATCTATATTAATGAATAATGTACGAGAGGATCAATTGATGACATCAAACAAATTATTATCAACCAATTTACTTAAAACTAGTACAGACTACAATGTTGTTTTCTCTTCTTCTTCTTGTTCTTCTTCTTCCTCTTCTTCAGCTGTAACAAGTAAACTACCAACTTTGTCTAATCGTAATTGTTCCATACCCGGTACATCATCTATGATGAATAGTTCTATTGTTAAAGGTCAAAATAACAATGGTAATAATGAATTCATCAATAGTCCATCAAAATTAGTATGTAATACAATTTATGCTAAATTAGAACCGAAACCATTGAGTGTGAATATTATTAATACTACTACTAATAATAGTAGTATAACTACGAATAACAATAATAATAATAATAATACTAACAGTAGTCAAGCATTATCATTTAAACCAACTATACATAGTTTATCATCAGTATTACCACCTCTTTTAACTTTATCATCAAATCATCATCATCATCCACATCATCATCATAATAATAATCATCATCATCATCACTATCATCATCAAACAACTGGATTAATTAATGAACAATTTTCACTTGGTATATGTGATTCAGCTTATGCATCCGGAATTAATAGTTCATCATCATCATCAGCATCATCTCCAGCTGTAGGTGAATTAATTTCACCAGCAAAATCATGTTCATCAACATTTTCATCATCATCCTCATCAGCATTATCATCATCTAATGTGAATATAAAACAAACTAAACATTCACCAATACGACGTAAAATTCATTTTATACCAATTAGACCACAATCACAACAATTACCACCTGTAGGTAATCAACCAACACGTCAACGTTTTCTATCTGCAAATAATGGTATTACTAATAATAATACTACTATTAATACTACTAATACTACTACTACTACTAATAATAATAATAGTAATAGTAATATATCAACTATTGGGAATGGTTATATTCAAATGAATGGTTTTCAATTCAAATCAAATACTGAAAATATTGTCTTATTACCAAGAAAAATTGATGATTTATATGTGGAACAAAAAGAAGGAAAATTAAGAGAAGAATTCATGAATGAAACAATTGTACTTCAAGAGAACAACAACAATAATGATAATAGTGGAATGTTAACAACCGATATATTAACTCCTGTTTATATTCAATTAGATCATGAAAGACAAAATTCATCTACAGAAAGTTTAATGGTAACATTACCACCTGGTACAACATTAATTCAAGCTAATAATGATCATATAAATCGTAGTATTCCATTGAATAATACAATAACAAAACGATTTTATATAACTAATGGTAATCGTATCATACCAGCTATTTCAAAATCTGTACAAATATTACAACCTTTAAAAGTAATGAATGTTATACATCATCATCATCATCTTCATCATCCAAATCATTCATCCTCTTCAACAATATCATCATCGTTATCATCATCATCATCATCGTCGTCGTCGTCATCATCATCATCATCATCATCCTCTTCATTATCATTATCATATCCAGAACCTATTATCTATAGTCCATTAATGAGTAGTTCAGAATTATTATCATCATCATCATATAGTTGTAATTCATCACCGAATTCAATTGTATCACCATTATCTGGTGATGTATTTTTACCAATGCAACAAGTTGAAATGATGTCAAATTCTTCACATTTTAATTCATATAATCAACAATCATCATGTATGGATATTTATCAATTTGATGGACAAAATCAATTAGATATGTGTATAGAAGAAGAAGAAGAAGAATACGAAGAAAGAGAACAACAACATCAACAACAACAACGACAACGAGAAAAAGAGGAACAAATCATTATTGATGAAAGAGAAGTAACACATCTTCATTCAAAGAATTTAAATACAATAACAAATATTATTAGTATAGATGAATGTATGGATGCTGTAAATAATGATTCATTTATATGTAATACAAATTCTTCAGGTATTATACATAATTGGTCATCAAGTTTACCATTCAGTGATTCAATGTTCATGTCATCCTTATCATCGTCATCATCATCATCATCAGCAGCATCATCGTCAGGTTCAGTATTATCATCTGGTGGATTATCATCATCATTGTTACCATTAACAACAACAAAAACAACGATCACTATGGATAATAATAATAATGATAATGATAATGAACATGGTGAGTATATAGATGCCTCAAATCGACATTTACCATTAACTATTGATGTTATGAAATCAACAAATGAAAATTTAATCACATTATCATCTACATCTTCATCAACGATCACTACATTAAATCCTCCACCTAATCATCATTTACATCATCATCTTCACAATAGTAGCATTTCTATTGATAATGATTTAAATGATACAGATTTCTCTATAACAAATGATAATGATAATTTTGATTCAAGTTTTGATGCAATGATGAATTCTATTGATATTACAACATTTCTACCTGGTACATTTCAAACAAATGAAGAAGAACAAGAACAAGAACAAGATCAATCAATACATAATGATTATGATCATGTACAATTAAATTCATACAATCATGAAATTCATCATAATGATCAACATGAATTAATGAAAATAGATGAATTTGATGAATCATGTCATATAATCAATGATGTCATAGCAACAACAACAATAACAACCATAACAACAACAACATCATCATCATCACCATCGTCATCATCATCATCATCGTTTATGAATAAGTCGACTAATTCACAATTATACAATATTATTAGATCGGATATTGATTTTATTCATCATAATCATTTAGGGAATACAATGAATATCAATAATGAAAATCGTACAGTACGTATTATTGCACCATTACCAAAAATTAGTAAACAATCATCATTACAAGGAACACAATGTTCCAATTCTCTATCATCGTCATCATCATCATCATCATCATCATCTTCATCATCGGTATTAAGAATGAATTCATTACATGAATTATTAAATAATTCACCACAAGTATGTTCATCTACATTAGCAGATTTGGATTCATTAGATAAATCTAGTTTATTTATTATTAAACCAGAATGGTCTGTATTAGCTTAAAACAACAGCATTAATACTACTACTACTACTACTAATAATAATAATAATAATGAAACTTGTACATTGAATTCAACTATACACAAACTTATCAACAAGTATATACAATCTGTTATTCTTCCTTCTTCTGTTATTTTTTATTTATCTGAGCATATCCTAGTTGTATAACTCAGGTGGTTTATCTCAGCTACATTTTATTTTTTCCGTGTTGTTTTTTTGTTTGTTTGTTTGTTTTATTTTCAATTTTTGGGTACCATTTCAAAATTTTACTTTTTTTGTTGGTTTGTTTTTGTTTTGTTTTGCTTTTTTCTACTTTTTAGTATTTTGTTTTAATTTTCCAAATAAATCGTTTTCTTTACATAAAAAAAATTAAGTTTTTTTGGTTGCTGTTGTTCTTGTTGTTGTTGTTGTTGTTGAACAGGTAATATACGATTTTGTGTTTCCCCACCTCACCTCACCCCATCCCATCCCACCCCGCCCCCACACCCAACATCCCTTCATGAATTTAATATCTTCATATTCTTATTGTTGACAAGTCACATTTGATTAAAGCATTTAAACAAATAAATAAATCAATAAATAAGTAAATAAATAAACAAAAATGTCATCAATCTTATTGATTATTGAACATGTTATCCATGGATAAAAAATAGAATAATAATAATAATAATAATATGTGCATTAAATTATTTGTACATATGATAATTCAATTATTCAATTTTGTTGCCATGCTCCTTCTCATCTCCTTCAGGTTGTACAGTAAAACACAATCAATATTTTCTCCTTGTGCTTTCCTTATTCAATAATAAAGTCAATTTTGTTTTTGTTTTTTTTTTATAAAAAAAATAATAAAATGGAAATTACATCATCAATATAAGTAGTATGGTTAGTAGTAGTCATAGTAGTATAAATACTACTTTAAATATTGGATACATGTTCAGTTATCATCTCAATAATAATAATAATAATGTGTTGGGTATTAAAGTTTTCTTCTCTTATCAGTTCTTTTTTTTTGTTACATTATAACCTTTGATAAGATTGAGATTTGGTGAATACATATACATAAATATATATATTGAATATCTCAGGACAGTTCACTTATATTTTAATGTAAGAAAGCATTTCTTTCTGTTTTATGCTTTACTACGTCTCTACACATATATATTAGACAATCTTATTCTCCCCCCCTCTCTCTCTCTCTGTTTGGTTAGTTACTATTTCAGCCTTTTATATATGTAATTATACCATGTACTATTAATAACCATAATAATAATAATAATAATAATAATAATAATAATAATAATCGACATGATTGTATCAGCTTATTAAATTGTACAGTATTAATTCGACTTAAGCTTTTTATTTATTTTCTATACAAATGAACAATTATTCTTATAATATTAATGAACTATTGTTGACTAGTCAGGTAATCCATTGAAAACAAGTATCTTGTTGTCTTTTTCTTTTTTTTTTTCTTCGTTTTCTTTTCTCTTTTCTTTTAATTCGGCGGGGAATAAAATTTATCCATTTAATTCACTGTCTCAGGTGACTTAGTTATTATTTACCGATTTATACGTTCAATAAAACTTCTAATTATTTTTGAAAGCATTTTAATAAATAATTTTGTTCTATTTTACTTTTACTTTTTTTTTTAAAAGAATATTGAGGGGTGGGGAAGAGTACTCTCAGTTTGATTGCTTAACTATTTGTTACTATCGTTACGTTGTGTATGTTTCTCCCCCCCTCTCTGTCACGTTGTGTGTGAGTGTGTGGTTCCGCATTGTTTTTTTTTTGAAAAAAAATAATTCATTCATTTGTTGGAATATACAAGTCGATCAATCAATAAATAAATCAATCAATCCCCCCTTCTCCTCCTCCTCCTCCTCCTTAATTCAACGATATACTGACAATAATAAAAAAAAACATTTCATATTCAGGGCTATTATTACAATTATATATATACTCTTTTTTATATTATTGTTGTTGATTTCTTTATTGGCTTTCTCCGTTTGTTTGTTTGTTTGTTTGTTTATTCTTTAAAAAGAAAGTGAAAATTTCATTTGACAATCATCTTGATTGTTTATTATTAGTGATGATGATTATAGTTTTATTACTGCTGAAGTTGACAATCATAATGATGTTCATTATAATACTACTTATATACTACTTATTTACATCATTTGTTATATACATTTATATACATATACATATGCATATATGATAACCAACATTGTAATATTTTATGAATTGCCTTTTCTTTTTTTTTTTTTTTTAAAACAAAATGAAAAAAAAATATAAAATTTTTCAGTTGAATTATTTATGGTTTATTTCATTCTATTGTTATAGTTGATATTAAGTTTGAAAGATGTTATCACATAAGAAGCTACCAAATAGATATGTACTACATAAATCATTTGATTTGTGTATGAAGCCTGGAATACTTTCCAGGTGCCCAAATCGAAGTAGGTGATTTTCTTAAGGGGTCACACTTGAAGCTTTTGATCTAAAGTTCTAATCTACAAGGTAGTGGAGCAATGTCAGAAAATGTAGTTCCATAATAGTGAGTGACTAATAATTGGTTTACAAGCTATTTGTTTTTTCAGGATACTGGAGCTCATGTGCACCATTAGTTTTCCAACTCTCCTAGGTGGATTCTTCGTGTTCATCAACCCGTTTAAAGCACCGGATATTCGCTTTTTGTCCTCTCAATTTCGTAAACAATACTATCGATAAGAGAAGGTAGTGAGTAGGACTTCCCTGGTAGTGGTTGTATATACGTGGCCATGTGAAAGGATTTCGAGTGAGTAGTATACTATGATATTAAACATGAAGCTGTAAAGAATACAATTGAATCAGTGAGATTGATTTCAGGACATGTTATGTAATTCGTTGTTGCTTACATTTATCATAGTTCATGATATGATGCAGACTATAGTTTTCTCGGTTAGTTGAACAATCTTTAAGAAAGAAATACCAATGATCTATAAGAAGTAGTGAATTTGCGTTTATTTTTCAGTTTTTGCATTACGTTTAACAACGTGTGAGTTAATTGGCTTTGAGATAGTATCAGTGAACTCTGACCTTGTGGTTTTAATGATTGACTGATCATCATGAAGGTTAAAGACTCTTGGTTCGACTGTCCTGAAGGTTGTTGGTACTTACTGTTCAATAGTATCATACTAGGACTATGTATTTGTTCCGTTCTACATGATCTACATTGGTACTTCATATAATACTAATTTGTAACGGCTATAATATCTAAATAAGCAGATATATGTAAATTACTGATGGATAATTATATATTACTTATGAATCGATTGGGTGAGACTATAATTTATGGACGAACCAATCAGGTATAAGATAACAGGTCTCAGATTTTGGCGCGAAATTCATCCATCCATTTGGATAAATCGAATTTTGGCAATATTATAGCTGATATCAGTTCGTGATGAAAACCCAGAATCTTGTTTCTAACCCTAACCATCAACGGCAAATATTAATCCTAATTCTTCACACTGGTTTATAACTCTCATTTAGTCCTAGTTATCAGGTTAGTCTGGTGTCGCTCAAAGTTCATCTATAAATTATAGTCTCACTATAAAATGTATATAGTTTAATGCATGACATTGTAACTGAATTATCGTACTGACAGCTTGGAGACACAATTTAAGTACATTAACTACATTGTTCTACGACTTATTGAGGCTAAAGTAAAGTGATACTTGTTAAGACTTTCGGAAATTTAAACAATATTGATACGTTTAACACATTAATTGAGTTTATGAAAATAAGTTTACCAATCTATGTTTAATTCCTCAATACGATATAGATATTAGCTAATGAGACTTTGTCAATATACAACTGAAGGGATAGATAGTGTCATATCTTGTGGCCTTGTGCTCTGTTAGTACATAATGTAATGATATCACCAATTAGAGAACAGTGATTTATCGACCGGACTAATGATGCGTAAATCTGTATGAGCAGTCTAGAGTCTTTATCAGTCCTTGCCTCCTGTAAAGCCCTGCCTGTTAAGTACAGAACACCAATCTTAAACTCCTCAATATGTACTTTAAACATATTGAGCTTATATAAAAACCAACTAGACCACATTGTACCACAAAATAGAAAACAACATTTGTACAAGATCTAGCCAAAGAGTGATTGTGAATGTCGAAGATAGTGATTAATAAACTGTGTATAACTTAAGAGTGGCCTATGCTCCATTGAGAGTAACAGGTGTAGGTAAGTAAGTACGTATAACTTAAGCACGGTAAATCGTATAACAAAAGTCTATGGAGCAAAACAAAGCTTATAATACGAGGAATATAAATATATATAATCTAGTTACTCGATAGTTATACAATAAAAAATATATGCATCGTATGGGTTCAGAATTGGATCCCAACAGTTACCATTCATAATTCTCGTTGAGATATAACAGAATCCTTCTATGTTTGATTTCAATGATTTATTTTTGTGTTAGATCTTAAGCGAAAAACTTTAAAATTTGTAATTATTTTAACTCAAGCTTATAATAACCCAACCGTTGTTGCTACGTTGATGTGATGGTCGGGCTTGCCTACCGTGATGAACCAATCGAGCTATACTGGTTGGAACAGTCGTTCCTCAAAGTCTTATCATGCCAGACAAGTAGGTTGAAGAGCGGTAAGACTGAAAGCAGCAAATCAAAGGTTCGAAGGCGAAGTTGTACTTCTGAGTGTACCGAGGTGTGACGGTAGTAGGGTGTTTCCTTCAAACAACCAGCATCTTTAGAGATGCCGCCTACCCACAATGAGGGGTCAAGTTAGAAAAGGTCGACCGCAAAAATGCACACCACATCTTATCCCACAGATTTCCGTCTCCGGCGGTAAAGTCTCATAAGTACGGAACTAACACAAAAACTACTCACAAAAAGTTCGTGTGTGACCGACGTCAAGCAGTTGTCCCTTGGGCATTGCGGTCACGCTCTCAGGTCACTATGATCACCTCCAGCCTAATTT